ACCTAGGAATTTAATACCTGAATTAGGTCATAGCACCAAGGCTGCCCCAATATTTAAACACTCCATTTCAGAATAATATTAACAATTCTGAACACATTCTATCATAAAATTGGTAATAAACTCGAGAATAAACTAATCAGCAATAATAATAAACACGAACATGAATATATTGTATTTTCAATTTAATAATAAAACTTTATACCTGAAAAACCTAAACAGACAGGTACACGAATTTAGGTCTTACCTTTCCATGGCCAATTCCATTTCAAAAGTCAGCATAGCTCCAGTATCAACCAGAAACACGTACAGCATTATGATATGCAAAAGTAACTGATACAATAACACTTAGTAATTCTTATAGAAGATGTCTAGTAGTAGTTGTTCCATATTTTGATATTTAGATATTTAATACTAAATGTCGATTGAATGTCAAGTCAAATTCTGTGTGGTGGCAATCTTTACGTTTTATTGTTGAATTTAATGCGAGCAAAAGCTATACACAAAGCCATACTTGCAGTACTTTACATCGTCTTTTATAGTAGTGTCTTTATTATTTGCACAAATTAAGCATTTTCATATCATTTTTTGCTGACCGTCATTTATGTTCGTAACAGAAAGTGGAACTTGTCAAATATTGCTATTGATACATTTAAGATTTTGTGTACCTATATATCCCTATATCATCTCATATTTATAAATTCATATCCCCCAATGCTCACTTACAATCATTATATCAGTGCTTACCGATGTAAGGGCCTAGCTGTTCTTTAACCGAGCTGGCCCGCTTTGCCGAGCTGGCCCGCTTTGCTTTCACATGAGGCGGGCTAGCCCGGCAATCATATCTATTCATAGTAACGATTTCCCGCGATATTTTAGCGGGAAAATAAAATTCGTGTTTATTTGGCAAAATTTTATTTTTGTCGACGGCAACAGCTTCAGGAGGTTTAATTTCGATAAATTCCTATAGTTTTGGACATTTTAGACTGTTTATCAGTGGAATAAAGCACGCAAATTTCCAGCTCGGTTTGCCGAGCTAGCCCGGTTGTGCATTCATATGAGCCTGGGTTAATAGGGTTGTGAGTGGGTTAATAGGGTTGTATTTATTCAAGACATCAGCGTGTGCGAAACAGAATTAACTTCGATTGAGCACCAGCGCTAATTGTCGAGGAACTCGTTTGGCGTGTCGTTAGGGGTATCCATGCATGCTAGCAGAGAGAGTATCTGACATTCTCACAGGATTTGACATTTATCGTACTACAAATTTTTGTCAATTTCCCTATCATTTTAAACCACTGACTGGAGCTGCAAAAGTGTTCCTCAAACCTCCTACCTCCGGCTAACAATTCAAATTTCGAAACCTTCCTCAAAATAATGTAGACTATGCCATAGACAATGGCTTTTTCAAATTGCAAAATATTGATAAATTATGTCATTCAAAATCGTCTCCTTTTTCTTATTTCCCACTGAATATCTTCAGTTTTTATTGTTTTCTTCTCAGTATCAGCTAAACTATCTGTATACTACGTAATTATGCACACCATAATTTTTCAGTGGGGTAATCATAACCGGCTACGGTTGATGGAGGTGAAATAAGTAGGGGGTCACACAGTTTAAATCTTTAAGGGTATACTTTGGGAAATATATTTCTAAGTTCGCCGTGCAGTTCATGGCTGTATTAAATAACTATTCATAAAATATCAAATTGAATCGCTTCAGCTCAGGGCATTTTTTAACTATATAACTGGGGGGGCCAAAGCCCCCCCAGCCCCCATGGTGGCCCCCCCACTTAACCATTTTGCCCCCCCCCCCAGTCAAAGTCCCTTTTCTCTAAAATATAAGCAAAACATGGAATTTAGAAGGGAGGTTTGATATTCTAGTAACTGAAATTTGCTTTGTGAATCTTATGTCCTGTCTTTTGTGTTTAATAAATACCTTATTAGATTTTAAACATTTCCAGGCAGTGGATTGCATTTCCCAGACCTTATAAGTTTGAGTTGTTTGACAAGTTAGTGACCGCAGGGGGCAACAGGCCCTCAACCAAGTGTTTTATAAGGGGGGGATAATTTGGCCCCCACCAAAATAAAAACAATTTTATTTCGAAAGTAGAAGTATTTGAAATCATATATACATATAATCAAATATCTGTAATCGATATTTTGATAACATTTCTCGTAATAATCCATCCTGACTCGCGGATATCATAGACTCACAAATCATAATGAACGAATTAATGAAAGGGCCAAACAAAAGACGTATAGAAGACTTTGAAAATGCCATTTCCGATGATTTAGAGACGCTTTTCAAAATTTTTTCGCTCTGTGCCAACCATGGTGGCGCTTTGTGGAAGTCGGGAACTCTAAGTTTATTAAGCTGGCTTCCTAAGTGACGGCCAAGTTGTGCGGGTATCTACATAAACATACTATGCAAGTACTTAACTGAAGGTTCAGTTTATCTACAGCATAATGTAATGCTGTATATCCAAAAATCTGTTTCAGAAAATGCAGGGAATTGCAGTCATAGGGGTAGAAAAATACAAAAATTTTCTGGGAGAGAAAACCCCAGACCTCTCCAGGGCCGTAGCAACCGCGGGGGGGGGGGAGGGCTGGGGGGCTGCAGCCCCCAATAATTTGCTAATAATCATTCATTTTTCAAAATCATGCAGACCTTTATTATTTAATCCATGACAAACTGCAAAGAATGAAGATATTGCCCATACTTTCCTGCAACTTATCCAATATATCGTTAATTAAATACACCTTCGTCCATTTAGTACTACTGAATTCTAAATTTCCACATACTAAAAACGCTGTTTTCTGACAATCAGAAATCTGTCAAATCTTCTCCAAAGTCCAGGAAATGGCATTTCAGAGACTCTAAATTTAAAAATTTCCTCGGGCCTTCGGCCCTCGCTTTCAGCCCCCCCCCGAAACGAAAAGAGCTTCCTACGGCCCTGCTCTCCCCCCCCCCTCCCTACTATTAAATGCGATACCACACCAAACTTTTTGTTACCAACAAACCATCTATCATTGCTCCACACTCGGTATAGTATGGTCCCTTTTTGTAGATGCCCCCCCCCCCCCACTGACGAATTCTTAAAAAATGCCCTGCCTCAAACGATCATTTTTCCAGGGGCCGTGGAATCGGGGACAATGGGAGCGTTTGGCGCCCTCCCCCCTCTTTCCCCACACAAGTGAAAAAGTGCCCTTTTTCTGGGCTAAAGTGCCTCATTTGAAGAACGGAAATAGTATTTCTTGAATGAACGCTCTCTTCTGCTGGAAAGAAAGTGCCCTTTTTGCAAATTCCCAATTATAATGCAAATAAATATAGATGTTCCGGATATTCCAAATTTCCCAGTTGTTCCAATCTGCATTTTAATTAAACAACACCATGTAGAGATTGTTGTATCCATAAATATGTATTACTAGTACAGTTATTTAAACTACTTTACTAATAAGCTATCGTACCATGGAACAATCTTTTGTTGCAAGATAAAAATCGGAAGTGAAGACTCTTGAGGTGAGCTGCACGAATCATTGTTATTGGAAAACACTCACGTTGAACACCTTAAAAACATTCAATAAGATTTGATTGGTCAATTGCCGTTGCAGAATCAGACAATCTTGCACAGAAGATTTAAATTCCTTCACGCGGGCTTCTAAAATGTCGAACAATGAAAACATCAACGTGTGAAGTTAACAGTATATTAAACGAGAAACAAGTTAACAAAAAGTTCAGAAAGTTATATTAAAGTTAACCGTTTTTAAATAACGTTTAAATAAAGTTGACGTATGACGTTTTAATAAAGTTAACCGTTGTTTCACTGCAGCCTAGTTATTTTATTCAACAATGACCAAATGGTTTTCACTGAAAACCATTTGGTATTCCTTTAATACATTTTTTTCGTGTGGGGGGGGAGGGGGGGGGGTTAGCCTCCCCCCCCCCCCCCCCCCCCCCCCCCATTTCGCCGCCACTGTTTACGTCATACATACTTTACTCACATTTTTTTCTGTTAGCTATGTTATTATCAAAATAAATTAGTAATAATTTATCAAGGTATTTACTTCATTTCAAATCTTAATTGATAATAACTTTTAATTCAATTGAAGATGTTAACGTCACCCAAAGTGCCCATTGTAAGGATTATTCCCTCTCGTAAAGAAAATAACTCGGTCGTCCTAGTGGCCTTTACGTGAAATAGCTTTCGCTATTTTTAAATCTTATATTTCAAGTTAGGTCTTCTACAAACATGAAGTCAAGTGAAGTGAAAGGCTTTATTTACTGAGGGTAAACACGTGACAGTAGGAAACTGATAAACTTGTGGCCCTCAAAATTTACAAAATTTAAGATATATTAGAACACAGTCCCTATTTAAAGTTAAAATTATTAAAACACGACCCTAACGCTGCAACCTATTTGCACATTTTTAATCATCTAAAAACTGTTTATAAATACTACGCCTAAAGCTAAAAGCAGAATGTATACTTCTAACGTTCAAATCTAATTTGTTCCAGTCTATAATTGTTCTTACAGTGAAGGTTCTGCCTCCTTCTGTTTTACGATTGTAAGAATTGCTAAAACCAAATTGAAGAAATGCTAAAACCAAAAATGTTATGTTGTCTTGACTCGATCTAACTCTCCGATTGATAAGGGTTGTGAAGTATACTTTGACTATATTTTATTGTTGTTGTACATTGCCACAGAGGAGCTGGCTTATTTATATTACATAAAACAGGAAGTAACTAACCGGATATGAATATACAACATCCTCCTTTCTTTAAGATATTTTTACAAGTTTTCTTAATTTTACATAAAAATTATATTTGGTATTATTTATATATCTCTAGATTGTTTATCTTCAGATTGTTTTTATCAAATGTTCTAATTTATAATTCTAGCTAATGGTATTTGTATTAATGCATAAATCTTACCGATCGTGTTCTCATTTACGACTGTTTGATACTAACTACTTATACATTAGGACTGTTCGATACTATCTACTTTTACATTAACCTATCCGGCTTTTTAATTATACGACCTGAGCGTGTTCGAACTTCTGGTCGATCAGGTATCTCAACATTTGTCTTTTCACTTTGGTTATCTTTCACAGCTGCAGGACTTGTTGGTCCAGGTGTCTTCTGGATGTCAGGCTTGATTAACTGTCTATTCCTCCGTATTTGAACTCCGGATTCATCTTCTGTAATATAGGAACGAGGAGTTGGTCCAAACCCAACTACTCTCGCTGGACTCCATGTTTTTATCAGAGGGTCTTGAACTTGTACAGCTTGATTTTGAAAGAGATTTGGTTTCTCTTTCGAATCCCTGTTATATAGATTGACTTGTTTCTTTTGTTGTGTTAATAACAAGTCTCTGGTTTCGTGCCAATCGTTTGGTGGATGAATCTTTACTGGTAATGTTGTCTTGAACATTCTTCCATTTAGTAGCTCTGCTGGAGATTTGAGTGTTGCACTTAACGGTGTGGAACGTAACGACAGCAATGCAAGACTAGGATCAGTTCCGGATTCTTTGCATTTCAACAGGATCTTCTTCACAGTTTGGACCTGTCTCTCAATAAAGCCATGACCCTTTGGGTAGTACGGTGACGAAGTCACCACTCTGAAACCATATCTCTTAGCTAGGTCTTGAAATTGGGCAGAAGTGAATTGCGTTCCATTATCACAAATCAAGATTTCTGGTATGCCTTGCTCGGAAAATATTGATCTAACCACATTAACTACAGTGGTTGCTGTTAGATTATTCAACTTCTTCACGAATGGAAACTTCGAATAATAGTCAGCGATAACTATGTACCAGAAATTATTTACCTTGAACAGGTCTGCGCTCACAGTGTGCCATGGTCTTGGCGGTACTTCACTTGGAATCATGGGCTCCTTCTGCTGAGAATTCTGGAATTTCTTGCAGGCACAACAGGACGCCACCATATTCTCAATCTCTTTATATATACCAGGCCAATAGACACAGGATTTTGCGCGGAGTTTGCACTTCTCCATCCCTTGATGACCACTGTGGATTTTTTGCAATATCTTCTGCCGGAGTGATTTTGGAATAATTATTCTACTTCCTAATAGTAGAACTCCTTCTTGAATAGAGATATCATCTCGGTTATTCCAGTAAGGCTTTATTGCTTGCTGAGTTTTCTTTATGCTATCAGGCCACCCTTGCATAACTTGCTCGGTGAGGATTTGAAGAGTTCCATCTTTAGCAGTTTCGTCTTTTATCTGTTGGAGTTCGACAGGTAAGAACTCCACTAAATGATGAATTTTTACTTGCATTCCAGGGATTTCGTCTCCCTCCCTTGGTGACAGTCTCGAAAGTGTATCTGCTATCCCCATCTCTTTGCCTGGCTTATATTTGATAATACAATCGTATGGTTGCAAGCGTAGGAGCATTCGTTGAAGTCGAGGAGGTGCCATGTCAAGATTCTTCTTCCGGATCTGTTCCAAAGGACGATGATCACTTTCCACAACAAATTGCCTTCCATATAAGTATGTGTGAAACTTCTCACAACCATACACCACTGCTAATAACTCACGCTCGATGTTGGCATACCGACTCTCAGCAGGGGTTAGGGCTTTCGATGCAAAGGCAATGGGCTTATTCTCTTGTAATAAGACGGCTCCCAAGCCTTTACTTAATGCGTCTGCTTGTAGCACAACTGCTTTGCTTCTGTCGTAGTAGGAAAGTGTAGTTTCTGTGCTTATTTGACACTTGAGTATGTCAAAAGCTCTTGTATGGGATGGGGATTGTACCAAATGGCATCCTAAGGAATCTATAACGACCACTCGGTGTGTTGAAAGTGGTTAGATAAGATGATTCGTCATCCAACTTAACATTCCAGTATCCGTTACGAGCATCAATTTTGCTGAATACCCTAGCTCCAGCAAACTTTGGGGTGATTTCCTCTAAGGTGGGTGTTGGGTAATGATCCCTCATGATTGCTTCATTTAAGTCTTTAGGGTCAAGACATAAACGAAGTCTTCCATTGGGCTTTTCTCTTATAACTATAGAATTAACCCAATCGGTAGGTTTTGTTACTTTTTTTATTACCCCGTTCTTTTCCATCTCATTAAGTTCGAAATTTAGTTTATCTACCAGTTCTAATGGTACTCTGCGAGGTGCATGAACAACTGGTTTAACTTTAGGATCTAGGGTAATATGGTAAGTGTAATCTTCAAAACATCCAACTGACCCGTCAAAACATTCTGGGTACATCTCAATCAGAT